GATGATCATATGTTTCACTATTGTGGACATCTGCTCGTGTTTACTGACTGTAAGAACAGTCAGATGTTAGATACAGAGTCAGGATGTGCAATATGGCATAAAATTCATATCCCGGCGATATTGTATATAGTGATGAGAAGCTACACGAAGCTACACACTAATTATGTCAGTTATTTATTTTGGACGATGTTCTGTCCATTCAGCATACATGTGATGATGGTATCATACATTTAGTTAATACGCATGCGCGCACATGCACATTTTACAATAAGCCTGTGACGTTCAGAGGAGCCGTCTAATCATCCTACACTGCAAGATACAATAAAAAGTAAGTTAGTAAGTTGTTTTGGTGCAAAGTACACATGGTATTATTGTGTATTTACACAATTTACAGTGTGCATTGTATTTCCTGAACCGTAAGTAAATCGTTTTGGTGACACTTTGCATGTAATATGTGCACGACTTCAGGTGGAGCAAAAACTCTGTTTGTTTATGTGCAAACCGTGCAAATGAAGTTAGTCCGAGCTTTGAGAATTTAAATAATATAAGGACAATATAATCAATCTGCTGCCTTAACTGTTAACTCAGGGTGTCATACAGCTGTTAAACTAAGTCAGGGTGTCATACAGCTGTTAAACTGCTAAGTTAGGGCAAACTGAGGCATCGGAGTGAAATACAGCTGTTAAAAACAAAGTATATGATGATCTGACAGGTTAACTGCTAACTCAGGGTGTCATACAGCTGTTATTCAGGGCAGATTGAGGCGTCAGGGTGGCGTACAGTGGTTATTCAGGGCGGATTGAGGCGTCAGGGTATCATACAGTGGTTAATAACAAAATATGATGATTTGACAGGTTAACTGCTATGTGATAGTGTGATATGGCTAATTAAATACAAGTGTATGATGCTCTCACTGCGGATAGATGCAGCCGTCAGTTTGCACTACGCGTATGGCAATCAGTGCTACGCGTATGGCGATCTGACAATGTATGCTAGCTGAACAGAACACGGCAGTAGTCGCGGTTTGTTTTTTTTGTTTTTTGCCGGCCTGTCTGTCTGTCACTCATTCCTACTGTATCTAACATTTGACAGGGATATTTGTAATGACATAAAATTCATATCCTGGCGATATCTACCGGTATGAGAAGCTACATGAAGCTACATGCTAACTACAGCCATCTAGCTTCTCTCGAAGAACCACCATTTATGCAGTTTTCAACTCAAAAAAACATAACAGTAAATATCGCTTTTTACTTACTTCCACAGACTCATGTTCATGTTTGTGCTGATGTTCAATGTTTTATGTTATTAGTGCTTAGTGTATATTTAGTTGATGTTTTTCTTAGTTCATATCTTAGATGTTATTACTGTTTTTCTTATACATTTTATTGTTGGATGTAACTGGGACCCCGTGTACATAATTTCGCTCCACCACATGTACCACATGAGGTGCGAATGACAATAAAGAAACTCTGACTCTGACTCTGAAATAACTTTTAGCTTGAGGAGATGACGCCCTGCCCGGATCCGACGCTCCAGTGGAGAGGACCCGGGTAGACCGGCAGAGCTCCATCTAGCTCGACTTAAATTTGGTCGTTGGCCAGCAAGCACAAAAAAAACGCCAGCACTTTTGCATTAGGCCATGGTGTTGTCATTATTGTTTTTAAATCTTTAAAATAAGTCCAGCCGCTACTCAGGTCCAAGAAATTGCAAATGGCAGATAGGTATTTTGAAAAGTTTCTGAAAAATCCAGTGACTCCTTCCCCTGACCAATCAGTGACCGACAGTGTGCTGATGTCACATATGGACCCAACAAGAATCAGACCGGGACCTCAGAGAAGTAGGTCCCAAAAATCGTGCGGGTTCCACCGCTGAAGGCACTGTGGATAAACTACGCAATCGGCCCGAACTAGTTACATAGGAGCCCCAAAAGGCCCTGTGGATAAGGGGCTTTAGTGAGGATCCACAACTTCTCCTCCTCCACCATAATTATCAGCACTGGCTCTCTTCAGGGATGTGTGTTGAGCCCCCTCCTGTTTACTCTGCTCACGTATGATTGTGCAGCTACCCATCCAGGCTGTCACATTGTAAAGTTTGCAGATGATACAGCGGTGGTGGGATGCATCACAAACAATGATTAGTCCAGCTACAGGCAAGAGGTGGAACACCTGGAGAGTTGGTGCAAAGACAATAACCTTCACATCAATGTGAAGAGGACAAAGGAGATGATTGTGGACTTCAGAAGGAACAAACACACCTACACCCCCCTGAACATAAGAGGATCTGCGGTGGAAGTGGTCTCCAGCTACAAGTACTTGGGTGTACACCTGAATGACAACCTCAGCTGCAGCAACACCACCACCACCAGCCTGATCAAGAAAGCTCATCAGAGACTCCACTTCCTCAGACGGCTGAGACGAGCTGGTCTGGGAAGCTCAGTCCTCACCTACTTTTACAAGTGTGCAGTGGAGAGCATCCTGTGCTCCAGCATCAACATGTGGCATGGAGGCTGCACAGCTGCAGAAAGAAAAACATTGCAGAGAGTGGTGAAGGCTGCACAGAAGATGTTGGAGTCATTCTTCCCACCATCACAGCCATTTACACCTCCTAATGCAAGAAGAGGGCCACCTGCATCATGAAGGACCCCACTCACCCAGCACACACTTTTTGCCCCACTCCCCTCAGGAAGGAGGTTGAGGAGCATTAAGTGTAGAACCACTAGACTGAGGAACAGCTTCTACCCTGAGGCTGTTAGACTCATGATTCTCTAACCAGAATAATCACTGTGAAAAAATCGCATCGTGTGGCTGCTGATCCGTTTCATGTTGCTGCTGATCTGTTTCAATGTTGATGTGTTCATGCATGCTCATCTGCTCACACAGACTCATGTTCAGGTTTATGCTGATGTTCGACGTAATGTTTATATGCTATTAGTGCTTAGTGCATATTTAGTTGATGTTTTTCTTAGTTCATATCTTAGATGTTATTACTGTTTTCTTTTACATTTTATTGTTGGATGTAACTGGGACCCCGTGTACATAATTTCGCTCCACCACATGTACCACATGAGGTGCGAATGACAATAAAGAAACTCTGACTCTGACTCTCTGATATAGAATCAAATGAAAACTATTCAATTAATTTTTTTTAAGGAAATGAGGTCAATTTGTCCTCCAGTAGTCTAAACCTATAGCAGCATAACAAGCAAAGTGGAAGAAGGCGGTTCTAGTAACATTTTTAATATGGGCGTTAAACGACCCACTTTTACTAAACAGAACTTTGCTGAAGTTTAGTAGTATACATATAAACTGGTTTTACCAGCACATTTCTTCTTAGTCATTTAATTATATGAAGGAAATGTTTAATGCACAGATTTAATTTGTCATCTGTATTTGCAATGAAAAACACAAGAGTCAAATAAAAACCATCAGGAGTCGTTACAGCAAATGAAGAGCTACATATAAGATTTAAATTTAATCTTTTTATTCTAATTTGATCTGAGACCTGCATTTAAAATAATTTTTGTCAGAGGAAAATAAATGTTTATCAGATTTAATCTGCAGGCCTTGAGTTACCAGTAGTTGTTCTTTGGACTATATGAACTAACTGAAACAACATTTGGGTTCACAGTTATAAATTCTATAGAGGTGGATCATTTAGACTGAACCAGAGTAAACATTAGCCCAGCAGAGAAAACAAAAAATATCACCAACACCAAAAAGTAGACATCAGCTGGTGGTGAACACCAACATTCATGCTCAATAATCCAGGTAAAAATCCAGCAATCCAGAGTTTTTTTTCATTCAACCTTTATTTAGACAGGTTAATCCCATTGAGCCTCTGGGACTCATTTACAAGACCTGATTTTAACAAAGAGTGATAACAGTGGATAACAATGGCAACAGTAGACAATCATAAAGGATTCATACTATTTTTTAACAAGTGAAAATAAAATGGTAATTAAAAGAATAATTAAAAGTAAAAGTAACAAAAAAACAGCTAGGTTGTAAGGCGGTGTAGAATACTAAAAACAGGAACATGTCTGTGTTGGTTATTGAAGATGTTTTGTCCTTCATCCAAAGGACTTCTTCAATCTGAAGAGCCACCAAACAAATTGAGTCCCACAAGCAGCACACTCCCATAGTGAAAAAAAAAAAACAGTTTACTGGTGATAAGATGGCCTCCGGGGCCTGCCCTCTCCTTCATCAACGCTGAGGCAGCCATGCCAAAGTGGTTCAAAACACCAAAGTTCATGCTCAATAATCCATCTGGTGGTAAAATGTTCAAACACTGTTTATTGATGAGCAGACCGCGTTCTTAAAGTAATGTTGCTCTGAAACAAAACAATCATTAAATTTTTTTAGATGCATGTCTCGTTCATCCTATACAAAACTGATTGACTGAACAAAACTGACAGCTGCTGCTGATTGTGACTTCCTAACTCTTCATGCCTGTGATGCAGGTAAGACGTTTCCATTAGTGCTCAGAGGTTAAACAGTCTGCGTTCACCAAACAGAACATGTCTGTTTAAATGACTCCAGCCTTCTTCTCTGAGCTGTTAACCTTCTCCAAACGTTATTGAGAAAGCTGACTCTTAACTGTTGCCACACCAGCGTTTAGCTAAACTGCCTGTGTTACAGCCATTTCCATATTTGCTAAGTTTGATTAGCTGTGGCGGCCATTTTCAAGCTAAGTTTCTTCCAAAAGCTGAAGAGGTACATGAAATGGAAACGTTCTGAGAGGTTCATTAATGTCATTTCACTGGTTCATAAAATATTTTGCTAACAAACCCACAAACAAAAGCATGAGCAACAACATGATCACCCTTTACACATTTTAAATATTCATATTTAACATCAAAACATCACTTCTTTACTTTATTTTAGTAAACTACAATGGAAAACTTCACGTTGGTGCGTTCACCAAAGACTATAGCAGGATGTGATGTGACCAGTTTTTGTGGACACCAAACACTCATACTGTATATTTCTGTCACACAGGTGCTTGAGGATACCACAGGGGTCCGGCGAGTGGTGGTGACTCCCCAATCTCCAGAGTGCTACCCTGCTTCATATTCTCCAGCACTGTCCCCCACACACCACCTGCCCCCATACCTGGCTCACCCTCACTTCATCCCCAACTCTCACTCTTTCTACCCCCCAGTCAGCCCAGGGGAAATGCCACCTCACCAGTACTACCAGCACCACCTGCCCCCCATGTACGGTGATCCAGGTACATGCCAACTAGACTCACCATACCTGCTGAACAACTGGGGAAAAGGTTATATGAATTTTTACAGGAGTTTAAGTTTCAGCACTCCCCTCTTTTTGTCTTCTCCTTTCAGAAATTATTTCTGTTTATGGGATGTCAAACTACATAGGCAGAGAGGAGGCGTACTGCAAGCCCCAGCCCAAAAAGATAAAGGAACAGAGACAACTTGAACGACAGAACCGACTCAACTCTCCTCCCTCCACTCTCTATAAAGGCAGTCTGGGACCATCACACAATGGATACAGGTGATGGATGACAAATACTTCCATAATTATCCTGGTGCTGCTCAATAATCCAGGTAGATAAATCTAACCAGGTTGAGTCAGGTCCTCTGGAGGATTCTTCTTTGTTGAAACGTTTTGTCTTTTATCCAAAAGACTTCTTCAGTTTGAGGAGCTGTAACAAATGCAGTCTTATAAATATCACCTTCTCATAGTGGATCAACCAGTTTGTTGCTGACATCCAGAACTAGCTGCATCAGCTTAACAGCAGATCGTTAGTGCTCTGATGGCACTAACTGGAATAGCAAGGGGCTATCAGGGCACTAACAATCGATCGGTCATTAGGCTGATGGTTTTCCTTTATCATGTGAACAGCATGTTGGCAATCAGTCTCAAGATAAAATTTTAATCTTGATGTGTTTTTGGTTATGGTGCAGCAACAAATCACACGCCTCATCACTCGGTTCAGGGGGCGGAGCCAGCAGTCCAGGGGGCAAGAAGCCAGAAAGACGACTCCGCTGCAGTCCGCGAAACAGTGAGCCAGAAACACTCACACAAGGTAGGCCCATGGGCTTTAATGGTTTCAGTCACACAAACATGTATGAGATGCAAGAGAGATAAATTATTTATATTTATTATAATAAAAACTTAAACATAACGATATGTTATGTTTTGTTTCCACGTAATAATCAAAGGATAAAACCCGTTTGGGTACAGTACCTCATATAGATATGAACAGATCTGAGGTGCTGTGGGGATTTAGGTGAGAAAGTGGGGAAGAAGGCGAGAGTTGTTTTCTGGGTAACCACATAGCTGAAGTTGTCCCTGAGTGCTATCATTTTACCTTTGTGACAATAAAGGCCTTGTTGCTAAAGGCTGAGCCATGGATGGGGGAGGTGGGCAGAGGGAGCAGACACATACCTGTACACTCCCGCATGGGATGAAGGAAGCCTTTGAGCTCCATGATTTAGACACTGAAGCTCAGCCTTATCTCACTCACACACACACACACACACACACACACACACACACACACACACACACACACACACACACACACACACACA